TTTTAAAAAAAAAAAAAAAAAAAAAAAAAAAAAAAAAAAAAAAAAGCAAGCCACCTCTCTCTTTCTTGCTCTCTTTTTCTCTCTCTCTCTCAAATTTGTGCAGGGAGATGGTGAACTGTTTTGTCAGAACTTAAATGGAAAAAAAAAAAAAAATAAACCTACAACAAGCCTACCTTTTATAACTGGGTGTTTAGTGCTAAACAGCCAGAACCACAGAGACAGTATTGTATGACCAAAGCATTTGATGCCAAAATTTGACGTTAAAGTAATGATTTGATTTCCTGCCCTGTTTTTGAAGGTCCATTTTTTTTTCCTTTTGCATTTACTTGCTTGTTTCCCCTTTGAAACGCCTAAAAATATACCTTTCAAAAACATCACAAGAGCAGACATAGATCAAAATGAAACAGAAAGCTCCTGCATCCATCATTTTTCATGCTTGAGTCCACTGTTGGGGGAAATGGCAGAAAACTGGACCTAAGGGCATGAAGAACATCCCGCAGAGTTGTGTTCAGTGTCGTTTGTCTTGGTTTTTCACAGTTGACCATTGATACTTTCCACACATAATTTACTTCATGCATTATGTGCTGGTTTTGGCATTATGCCCACTTGATAAGTCTGCTCCACTGGTTTCATCAAATAGACTTGCTGCTACTGGCTTTTCCATGGTAGATTCGGTTATTTCACATACAGCTGGTCAAATGGGATTGCTCTGCATAGTCAAAGTAGTGATGGACAGAATGCAAATATTCACAAAATAGCTGAGACTGACCCAGCTCCCCCCAAATCCCGAGTGTTCACTTGTAAACCCTGCACAATCTCTTGGTGCTATTCAGCCATTATCCCCATAGCTTTTTTTTTTTTTTTTTTTTAAGGCCATCAGAAATTCCATGTGTTGTAGTGGGAAACATTTTGGATATGATGAAGAAAATTTCTTCCTGGAGTCACAAGTTTCTAAAAGGTCCTGTATTTTTAAGAAATGGAATTTATTTAAATGATATTTAAGCTCGTGCCCAAGTTGGCCGGGCAACATTTTTCAATGGTGCTTATTAGAAGTTTTTTTCATCTTGTCATTTTGAGAAAATAAAACTGGAAATGGAATATGGGCAGCATGATTGTACCCTCCTGGTTCTGTTCTTTTCCCAGTCCTCTGTCCCTCTATAACCATGCTATGATACACCTGTCCACTGAATGTCACTGAGATCATCTGTTTTCTTAGAAATATCTTCACTGGTTTTCTGTGACTCCCCAAACACATCCTGGAATCTAGCAGACTGAATTATGTGAAGACTCTTTGGATCAGTGGCCAAAAATGAGGAAACCTGATACATCTTTTTATAACGCTGAGTTTCTCTGTTTAGGAGAGGATAGACTGATATCAAGTTTCTTCATGTTTCATATCAAAGCTCCATTGGTGACCTCATCTGCTTTGAGAGTGACCAGCCATCTTGCAAGCTTTAGGCTTCTGACAGCCTCACTTCCAAGGTGTCACTGGCCTCACAGATGAGAAGAGGAATGGTATCAGTATAGGTTATCCTGGGAAGTGGATGCTAACTAAGGTCCCCATCCAAGCAGCAAGGTAGTAAAAAGCCTACCTTGAAAATATGCATTCCTAGACATCAAAGTTAACATTGAACCCAAGGTAAATAATGAGTATAAAGTCTAATGACCCTCTTAAGAGCATTGTAGTGATACTGAGACACGTAATGATTCATAAATAACTAGGGAATCAACTGATTTTGTTGAGTAATTTTCTTCTTCATAACACTTCAGGCCCTTCTGACCAGAAGAAAGCAAGTTAGTCCCAGGTATGGCATGTAAAGTCTTACATTTAAAGGCACAGTCTCTAAGTGGACAAAAGCAAGTGAGAGCCTAAAGTAAGGTCAAGCAGATGGTGAAACCAGATTTGCCTGCAAAGAAATCCATTTAACTGAACCCACCCATAATATATGAGGCACAAAGTTACTATGAAGGGAAAAATAAAAATGATGTCTGTGTTCTTAGACAAATAACTATCAATCTGACAGTCAAAATCAATGGGGTCTACCAACATGTGTTCCATTTCTCACTGACCATGCGGGCACACATTGTGGAAATACTGGTTTAACTACTAGTGGTTACTGCCTCGTTTATCTACAGAATATTATTAACTAGAACATAATGCTTTCAAAGTTTAAGTTAATGTTATATATTATGTATAAATATATATATTCATAATGAGATATATGTAATGGATAGTACAAAGTTTGGAGACTTAACAGATGCTCTAACCTCTAGAGACAAAAGTCCTATCTTCTGTTTTCTTTTGTCTTTTGATTTTTCATTAGTGATCCATTGTTAAATCCAAATCCACTTTTACTGAAAAATACTGTACATGTGTAAAATGTTCAGTTGTTTTTTTGTAAAATATAGTAGAATGGTTGTAATTGATACTGGCCAAAATCAATGTTATTCCATATTTTATTTTTTCTATTAAATTAACCTAAGTTCCTGTTTATTTGATCTGTTCATACCCATGTGCAAACATCTCTGAAAGGGTGAGGTCATGAGAAACTTCTCTGTTTCCACATAGACGCTGAATATGGAGGAAAGGGTGAGGTGAATGAACCATCTAAATAAAGTTGGGAGAAAGGGTGAGCAGAGGTGGGAACTGAAAAAAAAAGGAGAAAGTAACAGCAATAGGAGAAAGGATCAGTTTATGTTTGGTCATGAATGTATGTTAAATCCCATTTTTAGTAAGCAGATTGTGAAAAAAATCTACAAAAGTTTGGTGCAGTTGCTATTGCATTGTACAGATGCCATATCCAGTGAGAGGGCCACCTGGATCTGCTCTTGCCCTGGTTTCCCCCAGGGCATGGACTACTGCATACCTGCCAGTGGGTGTATGAAAGGGTGGGGACCAAGGGGCTGGGCACAAAGAGATTGGGCAGCAGGGGCAGGTGTGAAAGCTGTTACAGAAGATGACCTTGTTCAATTGGCTAATATCCTGTGTATCATTGTTAGTTGGCTGTATCCCTGGATGCCTAGAAGATGACTTTTCTAAAATCAATCTCCAGTACATGCCACAGGGTAGGACTGTATAGTTAGCAAAAAACAACCATGGATTATAGATCTTTGTGAACCCTGCTTGAGATAGTCGCTAGCCTTCAAAGTTCAATGCCCTGTCTTTTGCAAAAAGAAATGAGAAATCAACAGAAGTGACACACATATTGCGCTCCAATTAGGCTTAAAGATCGGGGGATACGAAAAGGTATAAGAGCTGCTGCCATGAAGTCCCATTACAGAAATGGAGAGAAACTAATTTTATTGACCACTTACTATGTGCTGTACAATATGGGAATATAGAGTATATATATACTGATATAAATATATACTCTTTTGAGTTTCACACAAACTCTAGAGCAGAGACATGTATTATCCTGTTTATAAATGAGAACGCTGAGGCGTATGGACTGAAATAAATTGATTGGGATTACATAACCAGACTCAGAATAAGAAAAATAAAATTCAGTATTAAGACCATTAATACTAAGTAGTGAATTCTAAGTTCAGACAGGCAGAAATTTCTTTGAATTGGATTGGTCAGGCCGAGTTTCCTAGAGCTGTCTGGACTAGCATTGGTTCTTGGAGGATGGCTAAGGCTTAACTAAGCAGATGGGACTAAAGCAGGAGGAGCGTTACCAGTGAACTTGCTGCACAAGAGGTGTTCAGGGAAGCAAGTCAATTGTTTTAATGCTTTTTAATTTAATTAGCCTGTTGCTACAAAGGACAGTGATTCAACATTTGATGGATCAGTCAAGAAGAATCGACATTTTTACACTTTCCAAAAGATGCCCATTCTTTTCAATTCCCACACCCATGGAAGACCTTGCTAATCATCAATATCCATCTGTGGATTGATCAGCATTTTCTCACCTTTCACCCCAGTATTAGGCCCTTGTCATCATGCTACTGATCTATCAGACTCATGGTTTTCCACCCAACAGTCTACTCTTCATTTTGAGGAACTTGCACACTGAGTGCTTCGTAGAGAAGGGCAGGTAGTTGTTGTAGTAACTACTAAATTAAAATTTCTCCATCAAGTGATCAACACTGTAGGTACATCTGAGTATGGAAATATTAAACACCCCATCCCCCTCATGTAGAAAGAATATCATGCAGCTAAAATATAAGTGGGCATGCATTCTCAACTGCTTTCATATGATCATTCAGATTCACACAAAGGGCGATGAAAGACAGCAGCTTGACGATTATGGAGAAAACTGGAGGCAACTTCGGCTGTGGCCTGGCCAGCTCAACACTGCCGCCTTCCATCTGCTGATACAAAATGGCAGCGGGAGCACAAAGGCCAGCTGCAGCCCGACCTCACCTGGCCCAAGCTGGGCCCTGGGCCCCAAACTCAGTACGTGTCAATGACAAAGTATGAACCTGCTTCTCCTGCCTGGTTGACAACCATTTCCAAAGTTATTTTTGTTGCAAACCTATGAAATCTGAAGTTCTTGGCAGAATACTTAGGAGCCATTGACAAATTTAGCGGGACATAGCCAAGATGGACTTAATTTCACTGTGGCTCATTGGAGCGGCTTGGCAGTAGAGATGGGGCTGTAATCCATACAATCATTGTCTCCTCTTCATCATGAGAGGTGAAGATCTGGCCCAGAGTCAATTCCTGGGCAAGAAGGATGCAGTTGTGCAGCATCACTGAGTCTCAGAGGGCAAGTCTGGGACCTGGGAATGCCAGCAGTTCCTTCCTACCTTCTACCTGCAAGGGACTTAGAAGGATGTTTGACTGTCTTATTACTGAAAGATTTTCTTGCAAGATTTCTTCTCTAAAGGGCCACTGTTGGGTCCCCTGCCCCCAACAATTGTTGCAACTGTTGCTTTTTCAGGGCCAGGCATCAGGCAACAAAAGATATT